CCATACACGTTGTCTGCCATTTGCCCTGTACAGGGAAAACCGGGATTCATCTGTGAAGAGAATACCTCCCCAAAGTGCCAGACGCCATCGAATGTGAGCATTTGCCCACTCAAGTTGGTTACGACGACTAACTGCAGTCAGGTCGAGACCCCGAGGACGACGAGCATGCAGATAAGCTTCCCTGAGACTGTTTCTGACAGTTTGTGCTGAAATTCTTTGGTTATGCAAACCGATTGTTGCAGCAGCTGTCCGGGTGGCTGGTCTCAGACGATCTTGGAGATGAAGATGCTGGATGTGGAGGTCCTGGGCTGGTGTGGTTACACGTGGTCTGCGGTTGTGAGGCCGGTTGGATGTACTGCCAAATTCTCTGAAACGCCTTTGGAGATGGCTTATGGTAGAGAAATTAACATTCAATTCACGGGTAACAGCTCTGGAGGCCATTCCTGCAGAGAGCATGACAATTGCACGCCCCCTCAAAACTTGCGACATCTGTGGCATTGTGCTGTGTGATAAAACTGCACATTTTAGAGTTGCCTTTTATTTTGGCCAGCCTAAGGCACACCTGTGAGGTGGATGGATTATCTCGGCAAAGGAGAAGTGCTCACTAACACAGATTTAGACAGATTTGTGAACAATATTTGAGAGAAATAGGCCTTCTGTGTACATAGAAAAAGTCTTAGATCTTTGAGTTCAGCTCATGAAAAATGGGGGCAAAAACAAAAGTGTTGCGTTTATAATGTTGTTCAGTGTAATTAACCCTTCTAGGCTGTTGGTGTGTGGGCTTATTTGTTTATTTATTTATTTAAATGACATGAGACTTTGGACTTTGTGACTTCCTGCACTTGCTATACTTCATTGTCATTTTTTTTATAAAATAGTGGAAATGGCAACTGAGCTAATGAGTGATCCTCTGCTGCCATCTACTGGTTATAATGGCAATTGCATGTCATTTTCATCTTACAAGTCTTTGTTTTCCACATGGATAAAAAAAAATTTCATGTCATCTTCATGAATGAATTATAAGTCTTTAAAGTGAATTTTACTGCACGTCCTTTGTCACCTTTTTCAACCATGATGAGTTTGCATCCCTACAGAAGACAGTAGTGCCATCCTCCCGCATTGCAAGCATCATAATACTCCACAAGTAATCAACATGACTACAGTCCACCAATTAACCTCTTGTAAAGTGATAAGCTGTGAAACTGTAATAAACTAATTCATCATAAAGACATTTTTTACCTCAGACTGTTGCTTCCAGCTAAAATAGTTCTCTATCCATAATATTACTTTCTTTAATGAAGTCAGTTGCAGTTTCTTCTGCATCAGGAGAGAAATATGCCCATATCAAGCATAATTTACAAGTTATTTACAAAGCAAAAAACAGTTCTAACCAAATTTGTTGGTGGATTTTGATGTGAGAGGACAATAGAGGATGGCCTTTTTCACTTGAGGAAGCGTTATTATGAATTAAGGACTGGTATTTGGCCAGAAGTAATGGTTTTAAGTTAAAACACCTTAATGATGAACTTGTTTCTTAGAAAAACGCAACTGCCATTCTAACAGCACCTATTTACTGCAGAGGTGATGTAAGTAGCAAGCAATGTAAATTTCTCCAAATCCGTTCTGATGAAGAAACTTTGATGGCCTGTTGAGTAAATTTTCAGCAAATGTTTATTTTTGGGTGAACTGTTGTATAACCTACATAAAACTTTAAAGGAGGTCGCACTCATCTGGTGGATGACACAAAGTGTCATTTTCTATGAATTTGCATGTACTGCGCCACTCACCCAACTACGACTTCTGAGGCTGCTCAAAATCCTTCCACACCATACGCATAGTCTTTTTTAACATTTCTTTAAATGTATTTGTCCCAAAGTCTTGTTAATGTACATACAGACTTCACACTAGGTTAGGTACATTTGAATAGACATTGTACATTTTTAAGTTTTGTGATTTGACGGCTTAACATCAAGTCAGGTCACCTTTATTTGTATAGCACATAATGCAATACAGATTTTTTGGAAGCAGCTTTACAGGAATAAACAGGAAAATAATGGTTTAATGATTGTTCAGAAGTCAATTCTCTCTAAAAAAAAAAACAATAGTGTCATTGTTCAGCTAAGGTCAGTTCAGTGTTGATTAGATCCATTCAATAACTGTAAAGATCATCAATTATAAAAGTAGTTCAATACAGCAGTTAAGCAGCCCTGTAGAAAACAGTGATGTCTTCATCCAGTTCTGTTCAGTTATCCAATAGTGTCTGGACAGTCAATAATATTGTTGTCTGTACGGTCAACAATTCAATAATATTGCTGAATATTAAGTGAATAAAGTATATGCTACTTATAGGGAAATTCCATAATATAGAGTACATCGCCCTTGTAATCTTACAATTTGCACTGCTGTTTGCACTGCTGTTTTTTTTATACAGCAAATGTCATACTTACCAACTTGTTCATTCTTGAAGTGAACTTTTGCCTGCATGTTAATAGATTCAGTTTTAAAAGCAAGTATAGAATGATGTCTGGCGTTCAATACTGCGTGTGCGTTGTCACACCCTCAACATGACTCTGCATGGAGCTTTTTGTCCAATGTGTTACTGGCTTAAATCTAGATAAGGGTTAATCATAAGGGATTATAGCTTTAAGCCATCTCCATTAAATGATCTTATCTTTCAAATCATGGACAAAGGGAATGCATCTAATTAAATATACACAAATCCTGAATTGAATATTTTAACAGAAACAATTGTATACTATAATTGGGTAGTATATTCACTTACTAGCTTTACTAATGGTTTACAAGCGTATCACTTTCCATATCTCTTACCTTTCTTTTCATATTTCTTACATTTTCTTACACTGTCTCTCATTTATGTTGCAGAGGGCAACCCTCAGACTGGCTGCAGAAAAGGGAAAGTCATCGGTTTTGTGAACTCAGCTATATGGAGGTGGGACTGGGCTCTCAGAGTATCCACCTAGAGTTTGATGAGGGGGCAGCAGCGTACACACTACTAGTGCGAAACAGTGGCCGCTGCAAATGGTTCTTCAGCAAGCTTACAGGCAAGACTTCCTTTTGCATGCTATGTGGTTTAGAAAATTCTTAGAAGGAAATGAGAAATAGCACTTAGTAGACTTGCTAAGAAACTGCATTAAAAACTAGATTGAAAAGTTTGTAGACAAACTTTATGTTGGCTTAAAAAAGCCTAGCTGGAAAGTTTGAAAAAGTTTTAAAAGCTTACAGTCTGAATGTTTTCAGTTTGAAGTAGTTTGAAAGTTAAAATAGTTTTAAAGATTAAAGTTTGAATGTATTCAAGGCAATACAGTCTATCAGAAAAACAAATAGGTATAAAACATATTGCTAGGGTACCTGGGGTGGTTGCTAGGCTGTTTCTAGCATGACTAGCATGTTGCTAACAATTACAATTGCACAATTACCATGTTATTAGCATGATAATAATGTTATTAGCATGTTGTTAACATAATTAGCAAAATACTAACATGTTGCTAGCATGATTAGCATGTTACTAGTATGGTGTTAACATTTTGATAGCATGATTAACAAGTTACTAGCATTTTTCTAACATGATTAGCATGTTACTAGCATGTTGTTAGCATTACTAGCATGGTGTTAAAATTTTGTTAGCATGATTACCAAGTTACTAGCAAGTTTCTAGCATGATTAGCATGTTACTAGTAGGGCTGGGTAAAAAATATCGATATCTCGATATTAATCGATTCTCATTTTTACGGAACGATATTGATTCTTAAATCCCAAGAATCGATTAATCTAGCCTGTTTTCAGTTAATGAATGGAATGTTGCCTTTAACGGAACGTCCCATTCAATATATCTCAGTAAGCATTTTGCTTTGGTACTTTTACTATGAAACAAAGTCTCAGTAAATAAGATATTATTTGCAGTTCAGAGAGCTTCACTGATTATGAAGGAACATCGTGAGGTTGCGATAAATTGAAGTGAGTGGCAGCTTTTTTTATTTATGGATTATATGGAACCGCTATTTGCTCGCTTTCTAGGCACGCTATAATCGATTCAGAATTTGAATAAAAGTTTTGTTTTACGTGCTGCTAACAGGACCAACAGTCACATACCCTGTACATGCAGCACAGTTTCAGGAGTGACTGAAAAAGAACGGATGTGATGGAGGAAAGTCCGTAATGTACTGTTTTAGGCATGAGGCACATATATATAGCGCTTTCATTGAATTTCTATACACCCACCGTGCTTTACAATCATGAGGGGATCTCTCTTCAACCACCATGCTATTACAAGAGAAAGGTATTTATAATCACAGCATGTTGGACGTGATCCTTATGTTATAAAGAGGAGCGATTTTTAAACTAAATTGAAATACTTGCATGCCATTGAGGCGGTGGATATAGGCTAAGCAACTAACCCTTATTGTAAACCAGCTATTTCGAAAGTGAATCCCGTATTTATATGAGGGATGTGGAATATATGTCACTCCTGAAACTTTGCTGCATGCAAGTTACAGGGTATGTGGCTATTGGTCCTGTTAGCAGCACGTAAAACAACTTTTATTTAAATTCTGAATCGATTATAGCCTAGAAAGCGAGTGTCACGGTGTGTGGAGGCAGGCAGGATGACGAGGATGACAAGGATTCCAATAATGATATTTATTGTAGACACAACAAGGCAGATTCAGGTAGGAGAGACACACACACTCGGGGTAACATTCACAATAACCGACAAACTGGAACACAATGGAGAGGAACTAATATAGGGTGGATAATTAGTGGCAGACAGGTGAGCACAATGAGAGTAATTAACTAATGATCATACGGGCTAAACCAGCAAAAGGGGAAGAAACCACAATAAACAGTCCACAGGGGCGTTACATTACTCCCCCTCCCGGAAGGTGCGTCCTCGCACTGTAGAAACAGAGGGAGGGGCGGAGGGGGACTAGGAGGAGGACAAAGCAGTGGATGTGAGATGGTGACAGGGGAAGGCAAAGGGCTGGCAGGCAGACCAGACAGGAGGAGGTTCCGGCGGAGGAAGGACTTCCAGGAGGAGGACGGCTAACAGAGTCCAGGGAGGTGACGATGGAGGGAGGAGCCAGGGAGACGACAGGAGGGAACCGGAGCAGGAGGAGGAGCCATGGAGGAGGAATGTCCATCGACACCAGGGGGCCGACCAACGGCGGCGGAGCAGGTGGTGGAGGGGCAGAGATGGAGAACCAACGAGCCAGGGGGATGCCGAGGATCCAGGGGGCCAGGGTGGAGCCGAGGGCTGTGGGGACCAAGTCCAGGGAGACGACAGGAGGGAACCGGAGCAGGAGGAGGAGCCATGGAGGAGGAATGTCCATCGACACCAGGGGGCCGACCAACGGCGGCGGAGCAGGTGGTGGAGGGGCAGAGATGGAGAACCAACGAGCCAGGGGGATGCCGAGGATCCAGGGGGCCAGGGTGGAGCCGAGGGCTGTGGCGACCAAGTCGGAGATCCGCGGCGGAGCCGGAGCAACTGAGGACCACGGTGGAGCTGGCGGGAGGAAGGAGCCCAATGGCGCCGGTGGGACAGAGCGACGAGGTGCAGCCAGAGGAGTGAAGTCCAGAGGCGATGGCGGGTCGACGCCCGACCAAGGCGGAGCCGGAGGGACGAGGGAGCCCGGTGGAGCTGATGGATCGATGGGTGATGGTGGAGGCGAGGGAGCTAGGAGCCGAGGTGAAGCCACTGGGTCTACGGGCCGAGGCGGAGTCCGGGCCTCGGAGGCTGGAGGCAGAGGTGAGGGAACTCCAACCCCGGCGACGCTGGAGGATGGCAGTCCCGCGGGGCTCGCACCGCAATGATGGTAGGCTGAGGGCGAGCAGAGGGGCTACCAGACGACAGCGGTGGAGGAGGCTGGAGAGGTGCTTTCTAGGAGCAGGCACTGGAGTGCGCTTTCCTGGGCAGAACTGGGGATCGGGAGCCCTTCCTGGGCTGAACTGAGGATTCCGAGGTCTCTCCTCCTCGTTTTGACACCGACTTCCCTCCATATTCTGGCCCTTATGTCCCGCCATAGTCCGCTCACCCTCAGCCATGATGCTGGGGGCGGAGCTCCTCTCCGCGCTCACACTGTCCACGGCTTGCTCCCTTGTGGTGGGCACTTTCACCGGCTCTCGCACCTGGTCTGACGGGTTGGGCTCAACATCCGAGGCAATCCTCCGCTCAGTCGCTTGGCTTTGCTCTGGCTCGTTGATCCCGGCGGAAAATGGCTCTCCGTCATCGGTACAGCGGGGAGATGGTGGGCTGTGCTCAGGGTCCGGAGTGGGGGTGGTGTTGTTGTCAGCAATGTCCGCAGTCAGATGGGACTTGCAGGACACCAGCACCCACTCGATGAAGGTGGCGAGGCTCTCTCGAGGACCATCCCCAGACAACTGCGCTCGTGTGGTGGCGTTAAGTCCAACTTGATAGAATGTACAGAGGCAGTTGTCCGGGTAGTGCGTGAGGTGAGCCAGGGACAGAAAGTCATCCGTGTGGTCCTCAAGAGAGCATTCCCCCTGCTCCAGCAGGAGGATTTGGAAGGCAGGGTAATCCATAACACGGAAAAGAAAAACTGACAAAAACCGGAAAACCAAACGAGGGGAAAGACGCCGCTATACTTTACTTTTGGGTCGGTTATTCTGTCACGGTCACGGTGTGTAGAGGCATGCAGGATGACGAGGACGACAAGGATTCCAATAATGATATTTATTGTAGACACAACAAGGCAGATTCAGGTAGGAGAGACACACACACACACACACACACACACACTCGGGGTAACATTCACAATAACCGACAAACTGGAACACAATGGACAGGAACTAATATAGGGTGGATAATTAGTGGCAGACAGGTGAGCACAATGAGCACAATGAGGGTAATTAACTAATGATCATATGGGCTAAACCAACAAAAGGGGAAGAAACCACAATAAACAGTCCACAGGGGCGTTACAGCGAGCAAATCGCGCTTTTTTAATCACCAAAAAGCTGTCACTCACTTCAATTTATCGCAATCTCACGATTCCGTGATATGAAGCTCTCAGAACTGCAAATAATATCTTATTTACATCGTGTCTATGTGTGGTGTTTAGCATTCAGTGAATTCTGACAGTGTCACTGTAACAAAGGTTCATGAGTGTGGAAGGAAGAAGGCAGGGTCGGCTTGCTGGGACGCGAGCTTTATTTAAATTTCTCTGGGTACTGCACACAATACGGCGCTCACTCAGCACTTGTCAGATTCGCAGTCAATAACTCATAACAAACAGAACACGATTTGCTTCCGTGTATCTACCCCCGTCTCCCCGGGTCACTCGCGTACCCAGCCCGTCTCTCTCCACTCATGTTCCAGGTGGCCCCTTTTATCCGGTCTCTCCACACCAATTACTGAAACAAGACACAGGTGTTTATCATTTGCACTTGACCTACTTACGCACCGCTCGTCTCCTGCCTCTCTCTCCTGATGCAAACC